CGAAACATTAGGAAACAAAACTTCCAGAACACGGCCACACAGCCTGGAAGACCCACACCAGCCATCGTATGCCGGCCATGAAAGCCTTCAACTTCAGGATAATTACATTGAAAGTGGCATACAAGTACATTAAATAAACATGGTGTTGAATTGTCATTTTAGCACTCCAGCTGTTTCAGAACAAAGCCCACAACACTTCCCGAGGCCAGAAGCTGAGTCTGGGCTGCCCAGTTCTAGATGGCTTGCTCCGAGGTGGAATTCCCCTTATGGGAATTACTGAAATCGCTGGTGAGAGCTCTGCTGGAAAGACCCAGCTTGGTTTGCAGCTCTGCCTTTCTGTGCAATATCCATACAAATATGGTGGACTAGAATCTGGTAAGAAATGTATTCTGTCAATTTCTTTTAGTGATTCTGAGCATAATTCTTCACCAACTGCAGTGTTGCATACGTGTGCATTATGATGATTATGGTTTTGTTTATCTTTGGGATAAACAGTGATAAAGCTAGATAGTCCACGCCTTGCTAAAGTTTTAACTCCAAACATTAAAAATCTTCTTCCATTCTTTTGAAGATTTTCAGTAGGCACTGTTCACAAACGTTCAAGCATATATACATCCATAAGGACAAGGAGTTTGGTTTTAAAAAAAAAAATTAAAAGAATTTAGTGCATTTTCCCTTGTTTTGCTCCAAGGGACATGCATGAGAGCCTGCATTTAATTCCCTCAAAAAATGTAAGGGTCGTTACATTCAAGAACAGCTAAATCAAATCAAACTTTTCAGTGTAGGAATTTGCTTTATGCACTTCGGACTATTGTCCCTTCAGCATAGAACCATCTGCCCTAGAGACATTTTCCTTCAAGTGCTGCCTGATCCTAATTTTCAGCCCGCTTTTTTGTCAAAAGATGAAATTCTGTGTAAAGCTTTATGGCATTGCTGGAATCACCTAAATTATGATTTATGGCTGCCAGGGTTGAATCAAACATTTTATTTGCAAGTATGGGTTCTGTTTATGAACTCTGGCCTTTTCATACTAGTGTCCACTGCAGCTTTGGAAGTGGCCCTTTCCTGCCGCTGTCTGGAACACCAGACTTCCCAGGATCCAGCAAGACTCTGCTGGCATTCCAGAGAGCCTTAACAATCTGGCTGCGTTCCTCAGCATGGCTTTCAGGAGGTTACGGGGGCCTGCAAGAGAGGTGTCGCTATGTTGCTTGCTGTTGTCCTCAGCAGCCGTTCTATATATCTATTTATACTGGCTTTTGCTATCGGCATTGGTTTGCTTCTACTGAGTTTTTAATTTTGTTAGCCAGCCAGAGTCAGTTATGAGATGGGTGGCCATATAAACTAATTGAAAAAATAAAAAGGAAATTATTATCCCTTCCCAGCACAAGTATACAGTGGGGCAAAAAAATATTTAGTCAACCACCAATTGTGCAGGTTCTCCCACTTAAAATGATGAGAGAGGCCTGTAATTTTCATCATAGGTATACCTCAACTA